TTCTCAAAAATAAAGTATAATATATTTCACACAAGCCTAACTTGGTATTGGCTGATTTATATCTATTCTTGTATTTATAATATATTTTGAAATTATTCTTTTTATATTTAATAAATCTATATATTATTTCGCACATAAGACCTTGCGTAGTGGTGTATGCTTTTTGTAATATTATTTTGTGAAATATTGGGTCAGAACACAAGTTTATGGTGCTACAACTTCGAAATTTAAGTAACTATAACTTCGTTATAAATGAACAAAATTTAATTTAAAAAAAGGTGTTCAATAAAGGCTTAAAAGTTCTATTTTCGAAAGGCCACTATGTCTTTGAATTTTTGTGAGTTTGGTAATATTTACATATAGAAAACTATGAGTTAGATAAATGAGGAAATTTTCTTCTTATTTTGTGGGCTTTTATCACATGATAAAAAAATTTATAAAAATTTTCAACTTTCTATCATGAAAATTTTAAATTTTCTCTACAAAAATCGTTTTTTTTTTAAATTGTTCCTAAATTGATATATTTTGTTATTGAGTTATCGGCAAGTTACCAGTTAAATAAAAGAAACATTTTGACTTTGATTGCTCATAACTCCCTTAAAAATCACCACAATTCAAAATAAGATGTTTAAAGTTGAGATTTTGCTCTGTTGAATGGTAGAATTGTTGTTACATTTTTTTTAAATATAAACATAAAAATTAGCGCGCGCACGCAGACTACGAATTTTTGTTCTGAGATAATATAAATATTTACGAAATATAATATTATGTACATGAATACTAATTGTTCGTCACCTTAAGGGTCATTACATCACTCCAGAGGTCCTAAAATTTTAAGAATTTTTAATGGATAAATAACTTTATTTGAAATCTGTTTTTTAGAAGACTTTATTGTACATATGTAAAAAAACTAAAAAATATTTTTTTATTTTTCTTATATTTAAAATGGCGGCGCATTTGCGGAATCACGGACACACGATTTAATCTTGAACAAAACACAAAGAATTTTCATTATCTAGATATATATTAAAGACTAGAGAAATTTTACATAGGAGTTTTTTTAAATATTGATTTTCCTCAAAATGGCAGCTATTTTATGAAATATTTGCATTTTTTCAACGCGAGTCTTTTGTAAAACATCTGCCATTTTGAGAAATATTAATATTTTGAAAAATACTTCTCTAGTCTTTAATAGGTAGGTAGTTAATGAAATTATTTTTATTCAAGATTGAACCCCATATTCCTGATGGAATCCTGTACACCGATTTGAAGCTGCGGAAAAAATGATTCTGCCAGTGTGTCGCCATTTTGGACATAAGAAAAAAAAATAAAAATATTTTTTTAATTACATATATGCAATAAAGCCCTCTAAAATAAATTTTAAATAAAGTTATTTACTAACGAGCGAAATGCAAGCATTAAGATAATTAGATTAACTTCATATTTATGTGACTTTTTTAAATTATTTTTAATTTTATAATATTAAAGATAACCTAATTAGAAGGTCGAAATGTTTATTATTAATATAGAATATAAAGTATAAATTTGTTTACATACAGAAAATTCAGCATTAGCTTTTGTACTCTTGATTTATTTCATTAAAGTTATTTCCCCACAAGAAATTGTCAAAATTTTAGGGCTTATCAGTAGAACTATTCTTTAATTCTTCTAACGCAAGTTTCGTTATCGTTATATCGTTTTTGCGCAGCTTTTTTATCATAGTAAAAAAACTGCGCAACGATGTTACAAACGATAACGAAACTTACGTTAAGTACGGAATAGCCCTGCAGGAGTAGCGTTCCCTCTTAAGACCCAGTACTATCTTTTAAGATTAGATTTAATCTTGGTTAATTTTAATTTACTGTTTATCTCGTTTTCTAATTCTTATAATAATACATGCTATATTTATCTCTAATTTTCTTATATAAGAAAAAAAAAGTAAATTAAAAACCAAGATAAAGTTAATCTTATATTGGTGGAACTGGACTTAAGTGATGCCATGTCGATTTAAATTCTTGTAAATGGAAAAAATTGTTTTTAAATTCAGAGACTTTCACACTCTCGAAATTATAATACATGCAAACCTAAAACATAAAGGTTTTAGCACCTCATTACTTTTTTCCTGTTATTCTTCCGGATCACCAGAACATCCTGTTTTCTGGGTTTTTTTTTTTAAGCATTTCTGTTGATTATAAGTTTTAATCGCGGTTTCTGTGATTAAACCACTGCTAGATAATAATAAATTATTTTCATCAACTGACAGTGTTGTATTAAGGCATGAGCTGAATAGACCATGCAACCCAGAGCAGCAAATTTTAGGAAGAATTTTTTTAGTTAAGTATTGAGATAATATTTATAGATAAATTAAAGTTGCAAGATAAACAAGGCAATTCACAGTGAAGTACCATTTATTTATTCTTATGTGTCTTTCAATTTATTGTACTTTTTGTATTTCGAATAAATAAAAAATTTCTTTAAATAAGATAAAGATCTTGAGAAAATTAGATTTTAAATTGATCTAATATAATTCCTAAAAAAGAATTGATCTAAAACCTGCAGCATACGATACTTGTTTTCCTGCTGGATTGCTAGTTGGATTAGAATCTTGCCATCGTATTAGCTGCGATGCTGTCAGTACTAGTATTGCAGCCAATACGGTGACAAGATTCTAATTTCGCTAACCCAGCAGGAAAACAAGTATCGTGTCGCAGGCTTAAGTGTCATATTTACATTTTATAAGAGAACTCTTGAAATATTTCAGCTTATGAGCGCAAAACGAGTTAATATGACTCTGTCAACCGGCACGTTCTGTTTCTAATTTCACACAGCTATTTCACTTATTTTTTTCCCTAAAGTTTATTACGTTTAAGCGAAATGTCTCACGAGAGTTTAGCAATCCTAATTATTCAACGACTATTGATTCATGATCCTACATACTACTACGATGTGTTTTGCAATCTTGATCTGTGAGATAACCGCGACGCTACCTGAATGATAGCCAATGAAAAAATTAATGATACAAGAATACTCGTAATGTGATAGTTTAAGTCCTCGTTTCTTCCATCGCATCGCCGTGTTTCATTTCATTGAAAAATTGAAACAATAGTGTTTGTTGTTTGTACGAGCTGGATAACACGTGTCAGCGAATGCGTATTTAAACGCGTTTTCCGAGGTATCTTTATCTGCTGCTTACGTATTTTTTTCTCTAAACAAAACGAAGGAATACAAAACAAACATCGTACTTGTACTGTTCTTCATATCTCCGCAATCTTGTCTCTACACATGTAAAAAGTTCATCCTGTTCATAAACGTCCTGTACGTTCACGACGGTGGAAATGCAGATGACATTACACGGATTATTATAGATTATTATTAGATAATATTAGGTGTAGTAAAAAGAAATCCATTATTTTTCCAATAGATGGCTTTAGTAATCTGTATCTCGTCTACGCGTGATACAGATTATAAAGCCTATTGGAAAAATAATGGATTTCTTTTTACTACACCTAATATGGATTATTTGAAGACACGTCAAAATTCTTTAACAATTTATCGTCTTCCTCGATTATCGTTTATTTTTAATTCTCTATTATCGCGCTTTATCGTAGTTCCAGCTCAACGTCTGGTTTGTTTATAAATACACAGTATTGCAGTGATTCTTTTAAACGGATTTTACGTATCATTCAATCGATAGATAAGATCCCGAAGTATCGAGATATGTTTTATATGTGCTTATTATCGATATCACTGCAGTTCTAAAGTGACATTTATTTGCGTGCGTGCGTGCGTGCGTGCGTGCGTGCGTGCGTGCGTGCGTGCGTGTGTACATACATATTTATTTAATATCACAATTCATCGTATTGCTATTGCATCGACTTTCCTCGTTCGTTTTGACGCTATACACTTGGTTTTTCTGAATTTTAAATTTTTATTCAATCTTTAATACATCTTTCAAAACTGGCGAATGTTACTATTAACAAATTCTATGATCAATTTAATAGTATTTCTTTTCAGCAAAAAAAGTTCGATGTATATTATGTGCACTTATGAAACTAAATAAATTACAAGTTACAATTTAAGTAAAATATTTGGAACATGATTTTGTTTCTCCGAAACTTACTAGTCCGTGAAAAATTTTTTCAATTCTACTAACTCGGAAATTTTGTATCATATTATACGAAAAAATTTAGAATGAGAATTAAAATTACGAATTTTATATATTAATTTTCTTTTAATATTAAGTAGCAATTAATGTAAAAATGTTTTGTCTTAACAATGTACCATATATACATACACATGTGGTATACATATATAAATACACATTACACAGTATGCGATGGAGACATTTTTGCAAATATATTCTTGAATTCTTGAATCGTTTAAGTCACGCATATTCAAAAAATTTAGATGCTAATTATATTTCTTAAAATATTACATCACATTTTGTATCACATATAAGATATACAAATTTATTGTTTTTCTATGTAAAAAGAGTAAAAAATTTGTTTACTTTAAAGAGGGACTTTTAATCAAAGAGGGACAGTGTTATTACATGCATCCGAATAATAACTGATAATTCTCGATATGAAAGTTCGTATAAAAATAAAATTATGAAAATACTGAATTTCAAACATTAAGAAAAAAGCGAGTGAGAGATTTTATAAAAAACATTTCGAATTACCATTAGTTTTCGTTGCTTTTCTCCTTATTTATATATTCTATTATGCGAAAGGAATTTCGTTCGAAGAAATAATAATATTATCTTTGAAATATATATGTGTATATTATATAATTTCAAGTAATAGTAGTTTTACAGTTCCGACTGATTATATGTAGATCTTCATGATATCACTGATGATTGTTTAAGAGTGTTGACATTAGGTGCCTGTTTTTTTCTTTTCAGAAATTTTGTTTGCTAATCACATTTAGCAATGCTTCTCGAATGTGTATAATAGTTCATAAACGCATACAAAGTTTAAAAAAATCTTTCTTTATTCCAGATGTCTCATGATCATCATATAATGGACAGTACAGGAAACGTGTCTCACGGTATGCACATGGCTCATCATGGTATAGACCATAACATAAACCATGGTAGTATGGATGACGACAGTATGAACCACGGAGGTATGGATCATGGGAGCATGCATCACAGTATCGAGACTTCGACGGACAGCATGTGCAGCAGCATGGGCATGCACGGTATGTCGGTACGTACAATTCGGTTGTTCAAAACTTGATGTCGTTAATGTACAGTCTGTTCTCCGCGATTCTCAGATGACGTTCCACATCGGCTACTGTGAAGTGGTGTTATTCGAAAATTGGAAGATCTCATCGATAGGTGGTCTCATCGGTTCGATGATTGGTATCGCTATTATGGCTGCGCTCTATGAGGGCTTAAAATATTACCGGGAGTATCTCTTCTGGAAGACGTACAACGCTTTACAATACAGGAGCGTTACAGTACCCAGTGAAAAGAATGTGGTAGCCGAGGACAACCGGGTCGTTCAGTAAGTTGTTCAATTCTTTTCGGGTGATCTTGTAAAAAGCATTATTTTCCATTGTTTTCGCTAAGAATATTTATTAATATAATTTTACTTTGTGAAGAATGAATATTATGTAAAGAATAGATATAATGCTAGAGAGTGGCAAGGATATTATGAGAGCATATTGTAATGAATACATTTAAAAATCAAAATGCAATATTTTTTGCAGGATCACTAAGAATATAAATGATACGTGTATTATAAATTTTATATTATAAATTTAATCATTTGATCTGCTTTTTTAGTATGGTTGGCGAAGTAATCCACAAACAACCGTAAGTAGATCTTATGATACTCTGAGATTTTCTCTCAGAATTATGCTTTGTCTATTAACGGTTGTATTATTTAATTCACATGAATTGGTTTATAAATAGTAACAATAGTAATAATTGTTTATATTTTGTTAAACAATTCTTACATTATTAAAACATATGCATGATATATCTTCTTAATATATTTCTTAATAGATCCTTTGCTGGATGTAAAAAACGTCATTTATCATTTTCAACATGTATACATTTCGTATCATAAGTTTCTTTTTCTTTTAATTAGATGTTTCTAGTGGGATATGTGCATGCGTATTCATGTATTATTTTCATAAATAATTTTTGCTACATGTTACGAGTACTTACTAAACAACGCAATCTCTAATTGATTTTAAATGTAATGCTATTCTTTAAATAATAAAATAATATTTAATAATTAATAAAATTGAGTTATTCAGAACAAATAAGTATTTATTATCTATTATAATATAATAATTTTAATACTATATAATAATTTAAATAAACTGTATAAAAATTATCTGCTTTTCATTTTGTATAATTTGATTTTTATGCTACAAATGAATAGATGAAATTTATTTACAAATTTCGCAGAAATTTGTAAATAAATTTTTGAATTTTGCCTGTTTTTGCTACTTTAACTTTTAATATATACGACTGAGTCATTCGTGCACATTTTTTTATATTAAAAGCATCAAATAATTAGTTTTAACATTTATATACATATAGACAATTTTATTACATATAGACAATTTTGTTAACACAATCTTACAAATACTTTCTAAAGATGTTAAAGTATATGTATATAAGAATCATTTAATAATTTGTATATAAGTATTTTTAAAATACTAAATTTATAAAAGTAATGAAAATTAATCCGAGACACGACCGACCCATCGTCGTATGTAGTAAAAGAATGCAAAATCGTTATGTGTTGTAAGGATTAAGTGAATTTGGACATAATGAGCCACATTAATCTGTGCAGGCCGACTATGATGTCCTGGATGCATCTGTTTCAAACATTTCTGCACATTATACAAATCGTCCTGTCTTACTTTTTGATGTTAATCTTCATGACTTATAATGTCTGGCTGTGCTGTGCCGTGGTATTGGGGGCCGCCGTTGGTTACTTCCTGTTCGGTTGGAAGAAATCAGTGATCGTAGACGTTACGGAACATTGTCATTAACATTTAGTAAATTGCTCTAGTTTACTCCTTTTAAACTGTATTTGCGCGAAAGTACGCGCACGACTGCATTATGACGGAAATGCAAAAAAAATAAGAGGAGGACGGAGATTAAACAATTACGTTGTCTTCTGCGATAAACGACATATAGAGAATCAATGTTTTCTAAATTCATGACACATAGTGAATACATAAATGCAATAAACAGGCGAGAACTATTTATTCTATATGTATAGTTTCCATAATTTAACTTTTAGTATCTCTTATAATTTCTTACTTTTATTCTAAAAAAAATAAGCTAATTATTCTTAAGTTATCTTTGATCAAATATTTTAAATAATTTTATTACGAAATATATAAATGATTATACATAATGCGACTCGCTTTTGTGTCATGAAATCCTGCATAAGAAATCGTTGGGAGCTTGAATCTTAGAGACATATATAAATATAGTAAACTGTAAATATTATTAAGAGATTCACATAAGAATACACTGTTCAGTGTGCACACTTTTTCCCATTTATATATTTTTACTATTTGTTTTTATTGTTACTCTTTTATAAAAAATATTCGTTATAAATGAACAATATTTAATATTTGGAAAACAATGTACTATACTATTTTAAATAATTGTAAAAACCATTATAATATAGTAACATGTTATAATGCGTTAATATGTAAATTGCATGTAAAGTATCAAAAATACAGCCTCAAATGCAAAAAAAAAAAGAGAAGGGAGTTTAAAAAATAAAGGAGAGTATTATAATTCCTTTTTTTTTCTTTAATTCCCATGTTATAAATTGTTTCATTCTTATTATTTATATCATTTATCAATGTTCATTTAGATATTTTTACAAAATATTCATTTAGACACGTTAATAGTGATTGAGGACAATTTTTTCATAATAAAAGGATATATTAACCGATTTATAAGAATATGATAATTTTTAAACAAGCTCAATAGAAGTTTATTTTTTTTTCTTGCAAAATCGATTCCTAGAATTACAAAATCTTAAGGCAAAACGCGCGCGCGCGCGCGCGTACACACACACACACACACACACACACTCATACACACACGCACACTTATATATGTATATATATATATATTTTACATATGTTATGTACATACGAGAAGTGGCCTTGTTTATTAAATATGTAAAAATAATAAATAACAATTGATACACGCCTTGTTCACAAATAAGATTTTTATATATATATGCAGCAGTGTATCCTTTAAAAATAATTCATAGATTTTGTATAAAGATTTGGCGTAAGAATACCTAATTTATGGTAATAATGAGGTGGTCGTCACCTTGATATGATTAGTTTTATACGCTTAACATCTTAACTAGTATTATCATTCTATGCTGTATCATAAATTTATATATTCCATATATAGAGTACGATCAACGTGATGTTACAAATACTTTAAAGCGTTTTTTGATTGGTCAATTCGTAAAGTTCTTTTTTTTTTTATCAATCAAACTCACTTCAAAGCTTTTTGTAACAAGATTTTGATCACAATCATAGCCATATATAAAAAGCACCAGCATGCATATTTCATACGCAATTAATCGAATTATGTCATTGAGAAATCATTAGTACATACTTTTTTCTTGTACTGGCATTTTTAATGACTCAAGTACCATCTGAATAAGATATGTGAAATGTAGAAACGCATCGTATACATCCGCTATCGTTACAAAAAGCTTTACTTTCATAATGTTAATTTTGTAGGAAAATCGTTAGACATTGAATGCAGAATATTTCAAGACCAGACAAGCATATGCTATTGCATTTTGTACAAACATCAAATTCGCATATAAATATGGGCAATATAAATTCATAGCAAGATCTCTTAAATAAAAATCACGTTGTTTTACTGCTTTTATTATCAGGTGCATATCGCGAGAATAAGGCAAATTTAGATTAAAATTATAATTTACGTCTATCTCTTATGTAATAATTTATATGTATTATTATTATTATCATCGTTAGTACTTTATCACAAGCCAATAGTGTATTAAACACTTAAAATACTGTCAGTAGCTTAAAAGCTGCACAAAGCGTTGATAGAATAAGGACGTTTAATCTGATCTTATATCTTAGGTTATATTCTGGAAAGATCAATCACAATATATTATTTGTCATATATACGATTTTTGTGGCTCGAGTATTTTGTTAAGATTCATAAGAAAAAGAATATAAGCCAGCCAATAAAGAAATCGCATATTCATTGCTAATAATATCTTATGCGATCCATATATTTTTTGGAGATTCTAATTGGTTTTCTAAATAAAAAATTTTAAACAATATCCCATGTATACACAACTGATGCAATTCCAGTGTCAATAAAGAAAGTTCACCATATAATGAAGAGAGTATTGTAGACAGAGGCAAGAGATTCTCTTCAAATTACTTTGTTAGACCTAGAAACAAAGCATGCCAAGAGTAAACAAATCGATATTCTAAGTATAATTTGTAAAAATATCTATTTCTGAAACTGAAACTGAAAAGAGATTAGTTATTTAAAATTTTTTTAGCAAGCTCATTCAGATTCTCTATAAATTTAAAAAAAAAAACTGTGTGCATCTTACTGTAAATGTGCAAAAAAATAAGATACAGGCCATATAAAATAACCTCTTACAGTTCTACTGTGTAACATGTATCCTTATAGATCCTAAATAGAGTAAGCATCGTTTCTACGAGTTTAATAGTGCGACGTTGTGTATCCCTCTTCCAAACATAAAGAAAACTTTAAACGATTGTTCCAGAAATGTTGGTGTGCATCACATAAAGACTGTATATTGTGTCAATCTTCTTACCAGCCATTTCAATTATCTGGTCACAAATGTAGATCTTGAGAAAAATGTATCATGCATTATTTCGGAACACAAAAAAAAATTGAAAATTACAAGCTGCGACCTAAAGCTACCTACTCCGTGCCGGAAATAGACATGCAGCAGCTCGTACGATGCTGGGACTGCTGTTTAGAGAGATCGACAGTGTCTTCCACTAAAGGCCGCTCTAATCTAGCTTCCAATCGCGCCCATGCGTCAACCGCTGCCCCAAAAGCTGCCTCGACATTAGTGGCGTCTTTTGCTGATGTTTCAACTAATGGAGGATTACCATTCTCTGAACACCAAGCTTGAGCTTCTTCCATGTAAACTTGTTTCTCGGATTCAGGAACATCTACCTGTAAAAAAAAACATTGCACAACATAATATAGGAATATTATTATACTTGATAAAGATCTTGCTTATTTCACAAGGAAAAAACCAGAAGCGGAAATACGTTCTTGAATTGTAATTTTTGGAAAAAATAATCCTTTATGCTCATATTAAAAATCCTGAACTCAACTTCAAATACTCCTTAATTTTTTCGGAAATTAATAATAAATATAAAAATTTTGAAATTATCGTATCGATTAATCATTTGGCAAGATAATAGAGCTTAAGGACAGGAAGAAAGAGTATTTACAATTTTTTAGGATCAATTGACTTTTTCCTAAGAGATATATAGAAGATATAAATATAATTCGGATTGATGTGTATTTCATCACCATCTTGTCAATGTAAACAATAGATAGCAACATTGTACTCGGGTTCCTATTAAGCTGAACTTATACAGAGTGTTCTAAAAGTAACGATAAATCTTTCGCACAGGGGCAGAATAGACCAAACTGAAAAGAAAAGTCCTCTATCATTTTACAATTTTCGCAATAATTAACAAGATATTAATTACTAAAAATTATTGAAAATTGGTCTTCAATAATTTTTTACTCAAATACAATATCAATTTTACAGAAAAACAAAAATTATTTATTTTTTTCTCATAGAGCTCCAAGAATTTTTTCAGAATTTTTTATCAATTTTTTAGTACTGCATTTTCTTATTTTTACCAATATAAGAAAATACGGTATTTTAAAAAATTCTGAAAAAATTCTTAAAGCTCTATGAGAAAAAATAAACAATTTTTCTCTTGCAGTTTTTCTGTAAAATTGATAGTATTTGAATAAAAAATCAATGAAGACCAATTTTCGGTAATTTTTAGCAATTAATATTTTGTAAACTATTGCAAAATGATAGAGGACTTTTTTCAATTTAGTCCATTTTGCCTTTTTGTTAGAAAGATTTATCGTTACTTGTGCAAGGAAAGATTCAATACCAACTTCATGATGCACGGGCTGATATGCATAGTCGATTCTTACATTTAAGACTATCTTAAGTACAATCTTAAGATGTCGTAAGTCAATCTGAAGATTGTATTAGCATCTTAAGACATTATTTAGATGGTTTTAAAATAAGAACGGACCGTGAATATCGCCCCATATTCGTGTTTCACAGTTGATAACCTTCGAACTTTATGAACAGTCCATAGCAGAGAGGGTAGAGAAAGAAACACTGTGTCCAACTATACACATCATGATGTAAAAATACAAGGTGTAACATTCCCGCGAATGCGCAGTAGGAGTATGAATTTGGACCCAAATTTGATTGGCTGTTCTAGTATGCTACTGCTATTGTATACAGGAAAGTGCATTTGAACCCAAATTTGATTGGTTATTTCCAGTATGCTATCGTCATTATGCACATTTCACCTTGTCTTATTACATCATGGCACACACTATGTTATCCTCCCATGATATCAGTTAGGCCGGAATCAGACTATGCATTGAAGATTGAGATTAAAGATTGAAATTTCACCAATAAAGACAAAGAAATTTTTTGGCTCCTTTTCTGATTGATCAAACATCTTTCAATCTTTAATCTCATTCTTCAACGTGTAGTCTGATTCTGGTCTTAGGTCCGGTTGCACCAATGTTACTTTAATTTTAAGCGAGGCTTAAAACTCTCTTTGTCCCTGTCTCTTTTCGGTTTTAAAACAAGATAGAGTTTTAAGTTTCGCTTAAAATCAAAGTAACGTTGGTGCAACCGAGCCTTAGAGATTCTCAAGTCAGAGATTGGATACGTTTAGACAACTTCTGATTGGTTTGCTATATTCCTCAGATAGAACGAGATAAATGCAATAAATGGAATGAGATGCATGGACCTTATTCCCAGGCATAATCTACCTCATTCTATCCCAAGCAGGTCCTGAAAAGCATGGTGGATCAAATATATGGTGTCCAATCTCTGACTTAAGGATTTCTCGTATTAGTATCAGTGTGCTTCTCGCCTTGATAAAGTGAAGTGATAAGGTTCACGAAAAGTTGGCATTAGCAACTGATTGCGTTGGCACTAGCAATTTTTGAAAAAACTACGGATGTCTGATGCTAGAATTTGGGATTCTTAGTATGAGCACAAAGGACTTTTGCAAAAACCATATTTTAAAAGCACATTTGTATTTCTTCCCTTTTAGTTCTGATAGCATACCTTATTGCCAACAACAATAAATGGAAAAGTAGAACCCTCCTGAACATCTGCATACTTAAGAAATTCAGATCTCCATAGCGCGAGATTTCTAAAACTCGTCTTATCGTCTACTGCATAAGTAAGCAGACAAATGTCTGAGCCTCTATAAAATGGTGTTCTGAGAGTCTTAAATCTCTCCTGTCCGGCTGTGTCCCATATTTGCAACGTATATGCCTCGCCATTGATCTCAATATCCTTGTTCAGGAACTCTACTCCGATGGTATGAAAACTGTGTTCGTCGAAATGATTCGACACGAATCTATTCATAAGACAGGACTTTCCAACACCACCATCTCCAAGAATCACCACTTTTAAGAGGGTGGATCTCTGCGAGTTTCGATTTTGAAAACTATTGTTGCCTCTGCCTGTACTCACCGACGTTGAATTGTTTGCCAACATTTTCTATATATATATATATATATATATATATATATATAACTTGAAATCTGTAGGCTTATTCTTTCCTCCCAATATCTATCTTAATATTTATCTTAACACGAAGTTTCGTTCAACAATTATTTCCAACGTGTATGTACTCAACGTTCATTTAAGCCTAATCGAATATTATTCTTATAGCTTCTCTGATCAGCTGAGAGCTCTTCAATTTCTCTGAGCTCGTTGAATTATGTATCGTAACATAATGCCTTTTCACGTATTATCTGAGATATCTCCCTCCTTTCCTCTCTTCTTGTCACTCTTGCTTACATCAAATAATTAGCAAGAATATCTTGACATCTTTATTTTCTCTTGATTCCGGTGCATAACCTCGATCAACGACGAGTATCTCGTCGATATTTCGAATTTCGAAGCCTCGGCGAACGGAGGATCGCTCAGCAGGATGAACTCGCATCTACTTTCGTTTCCGTGATTTAATTCAACTGTCGCGTTGGGAATAAGAACGAAAAACGTCCTTTATTTTATCGCGACACTTACGGGCGACGCGATAATTAACAACGATAAAGCCTTCCTGCGGCTCCCACGGTATCCTCAATCGTGTCGATATGGTTCTACCATGGATTCTACCATCACTCGACCGAGAAATGCTGCGTTCAGGAATTACGCCCAGGTAACTCTAAAGCCGGTTCTACATTAGTTGCAAGCCAATCGCAAGTTTGTTGCGATAGCCAATATGAAGCATTTCAAAATGCAAGCTTCAGATGATTTTGAAATCAACACTTCATATTAGCTGTCGCAATAAACTTACGATCGGCTTGTAACTAATATAGAACCGGCTTAATGCCTGTTCTATAATAGGGTCGCAAGTCGTAAGCCATAAGAAATTCGCCAATTACAGTTAAGTGTGAGAAGAATTGATTATGATTGATTAATTTCTTACGGCTCACTGCTTACGACTATTGTAGAATAGGCCTAAGCTGTAGGTTACAGTTACGTATATTATAGCAAAAATGCACTCTAGAGTTATCTAGGCGTAATCCTAAACGCAGCCCTAGGCAGAGAGAAACCTAGGGTGCGTTTCAAAACTCTGCCAACTCTAAAGAATCCGGAATAGTGAGGGAACGAGTAAGTCAGAATATGTTGAATGGCGTATTCTAGATAAAATATGTATTCTATTGGGTCATCTAAAAAGTATCCGCGGTTTTTTGTCACTAAATGTGTGTTGATGGTCATATATCTAGTGACAAAGTACCACAGATACTTTTTAGATGACCCAATATTATATTTAATATTTTACTTAGTAGAAAGAGCTAAACTGAGATAAACCATATATGTATGTGTATACGTGCATACATCTACCTTGATACAAGCTTTCGAATCATATTTTTTACTTATCTCTCGTGTCCACAATGAATTATTTTCTTGTAACGGTGTTTTGATATCATTAGTTATTACTATATATCCTTAATTAATTTTAGAGTCATTTTAGTATCTTTACATTCACAGGTAATAATAGGTATATCTTCCATACGTTTCAAATTTCGTTTACTTACTCTTTCAACCCGCCTCGGAAGTAAGATTCATAGAGTTGACTCCGAGGTAGGTTTACTTCTACTTTTAGAACGAATAGGCTCCGCCCATATGATCAGTTATCTCCCGTTTTGGAACGGCGGAGAGTTAATTCTGTTACTCGGAGTCGAGTTTTGGAACGTATCCCTGAAGGTGCCGTCATGCAGCGTAACTAGCATAAGCGTAATTTGCACCGACCAATCATATTGTTTCACTTGAACACCAGTTTCTGCCTAGTTACTTTATGGTTTTTACGCTATTTTGTTGTTACGCCGAAACATGCTGGAACCACTACGCGAATCCAATTTGGCTCATTTTAGTTTATTCTGTCTGAAAAAATGCACATGAGTTTCGATTTTGCAACAGTACAATTATAGAAGTCGTGCATCCTTTTGCATCAAATGGAAAGTCTAAATCAGTCGAAACCTATGTGGAATAGTATAATTATAGACCTCATTTTGCCTGTGACAGATTTCCTAACCTCAATAGTCATCAACTTTAACGCTTAACATCTCGGATCACAGGGCAGAGTAACGCATTTTTTGCCAGATTCTTTTGTTTCATGTAAAAACGCGAATAAACGATAAGAGTGATTTCACAAGACTTTGATTTTAACAATTCATTCGATCATCCGCTCATATGTACGCGATAGAAAGGTGCTGGTTCCCCATGAGCTATACTTTTCGAGATGCGTAGGTTACGAAAACCAATCATAAATTTGTTTAGCATTTCTGTTAGAGTGTATAACAGAAATTCTGATCAGCAATTGGTCGCATTTCTCTAATCTTCCGCGAAATAAAAAGTGAATCCCAGCTTGCAGAATGGCGTATTCTAGATAAAATATGTATTCTATTGGGTCATCTAAAAAGTATCCGCGGTTTTTTGTCACTAGATGTGTGTTGATGGTCATATATCTAGTAGTGATATATATAAAGATATATATAGTATAAAGATTATGCGTTTCACGGATTTTCTCCGTGTCCAGATCCATTTTTGGAATGCCAACGTTTCGTGAACCTTGCAATACATTTCATCAGGGCGAGGAGCAGCCTGACATTGAGCTGTTTCCTCCGGGCTGTTCCTTTCATATTACGCTTCTTATTAGAGATAGGAAAGAAGAGAATTGTGGGGAGAGAAAAAGAGATGAGGAAAATTATTGGTCTTCAATAATTAGGAGAATGGTTTTTCATATTTTATTTATGTTGTAGACATTATTTCTATTTAGATTGTTACGGTGTTTTTGTATCTCTATGGCTTCTCTATACTTTCTTGGAAAGTATGATGTAATGTTGACTATTGTGGTCGTTTTGTCAAACAGTATTGATGTCTTATTTTCGATGTTGTGTTTTGATAATGCTGCATGACGTGTTATAGTCTGTACATCACGTTGGTGTTCTTTTATCCGTAGATTGATCATTCTCCCGGTTTCTCCAATGTATACTTGCCCGCAGGAATAAGGTATTTTGTATACTCCTGCGGAGCTGAGTGGAGGTCTTTGATTTTTAGGATTTCTTAAGATTTATCTTTTTGGGTGATTTAAAGATAGTTCAGATATTGTGTTTGTTTAATATCCTACTAATCCGATCTGTTGTTTCTTTGACATATGGGAGAATGGATAGGATATTTTCGTCTAGTTGTGTGTCGGAGACCGTTGTTTTGTTTGCATGTTTATTGATTGTTTTGATTATGTCTTTTTTGTTGTTCGTTTTTTTGTAAAGCTAGTTTTAAGTGGTTGAGTTCTATCTGTAGATGTTCTTTGTCAGAAATGAAAGCTCTACAATACAAGTGAATTGATTGCAGACTGTTTTTGTGCTGGATGATGGTGCGATTTGGCATGTAGGTATCTATCTGTGTATGTTGGTTTTCTGTACATTTGATGGCCTAAGATATCGTCAGCTTTGTTAGAGACAAGAACATCTGAGAAGGGGAGTTTTCCGTTTTTCTCTATTTATAGCGAAGTGGATATTTGAAAGTTGATTGTTGAGGAAAATAAGAAATTTATAGAGTTCGACTCTTCCGTGTCGTCATATCACGAATGTGTGATCTACATAACGGAACCAAACTTCTGGGTGTTTTTCTCTTTCTCAAAATGCTCCACGAAGATGTTGGCGATTACAGAAGAAATAGGAGAGCTTATTGCCGCTCCTGAAGTTTGTTCATAAAATTGGTTAGTATAGGAGAAGTAAGTGGTTGTTAAGCAGTGCTCTATTAGCGGGATGAGGTCGGAGGGGACTTCATGTGAGTAGAGAGCCTATAATCAGAGTGGCGCCATACGAGAGATGACGTCATATTTTAGCGAAATTCTGCGAGAGAGAAAGAGATATACGGTCTCAGTCTATCCAACAGACTGTCAGATTTAGGGTTAGATGCAACAGCATTGAACAACATACATACGTAAAGATACATTGATAAAAATAAAATTATCGAAATTATTTTAGAAATATCACATATTCAATACAAATGACTGAAAAATTAGCTATTTCTATAGCATTGTATATGTTTTTCCATTTCTGAAGATCTTTTTCTATAATTTTATATACATAATAGTTTGATATGAATCTTATTCGATGTTCTATCGTATTAAATATGCATATTCAGGTGTTTTATATGCTTCATATGAATATATGTATATTGTTGAATATAGAAAAAAGTAAACTTTTTTATAATAACTTTTTTCTTTTTTCTGTAATTTTTTTCTATATTTGATATTATTAGAAGTCATATTTTTACTTCAAATACCTTTAAATAAATAGAAACATTGCACTAATAGAATACAGAAAAATACAAAATTTCATACATAAAAGGAAAAAATTAATATTATTAAAAAACGGATTAAAAAATTTATTTTTTGTACAATACATTATATATACAATAGTATACAATATAGTAATACAATGTATACATAGTATACAATATAGTAATACAATGTAATGTAGTAATGTTATGCAATATAGAAAGTAATGTTATGTAATGTAGATAGTAATGTTATACTAATAAAAATTATATTATACAAATAAAATATTGTCTTATATATAATATTATGCATTATTTTTATTAAGTATATTTCAAGAATCATATTTACATTTATTATATTAATAAGATTGCAAATATTAAATAAAATCATATAATGAAAATACTATTTTATGCATAATATTTATTGTAATATTTTAGTTACTTGCAATCCTTTGAATATAAACTGAAATACTATTTTTGAGAAATAATTTAAGTTTATTCCAATATATAAGTTTTATAGTTTGTAAATAGATTACAAGATTCTTAATAAATTTATTTACTTAAGATTGTCTATTTCAGATTGAAAGGGTTACGATCACATAACATTTCGAAAAAGTTTCGGCTATTTCCGTAACTTTTTAGTTATATTTCAAAAAGTTTGCAAATTCTTTCTGTAATAATTTAGCAATCCTTCAAAGTTTCAT